GTGTCCCTCCTCCTATCTCTGCCTCCGTCACCAGCACATGGTGTTCTCCCGGTGTGTCTCTGTCCAAATTATTCTTTTTTTTTTTGTCACCCACGCTGGAGTGCAGTGGCACTGAGTGCTGGAATTACAGGCATGAGCCACCGCGCCCAGCCCAAATTTTCTTCTTCTTATAAAGACTCTAGTCACTGGATTAGGGGCCCCCTAATCCATCATGACCTCCCCTAACTTGACCGCATCAGCAAAAACCCTATTTCCAAATAAGTTCACATTCTTACATATCCGGGATTTGGGCTTTTTTTTTCTTTCAGACAGGGTCCTACTCTTTTACCCAAACATGAGTGCAATGGTGCAATCACGGTTCACTGCAGCCTTGACCTCTTGGGTTCAAGCAATCCTCCTGTTTCAGCCTCCAGAGTAACTGAGAGTACAGGCACACACCACCATGCTTGGATGATTTTTAAATTGTTTTAGAGACAAAAGAGACCAGAGGGCCAGACATGGTGGCTCATGCCTATAATCCCAGCACTTTGGGTGGCTGAGGTGGACAGATCACTTGAGGTCAGGAGTTCGAGGCCAGCCTGGCCAACATGGTAAAACCCCATGTCTACTAAAAATACAAAAATTAGCCAGGCATCATAGCACATACCTATAATTCCAGCTACTCGGAAGGCTGAGGCACAGGAATTGTCAGAAGTTGCAAGTGAGCTGAGATCACACCACTGCACTCCAGCCTGGGTGACAGAGCAAGACCTTGTCTCAAAAAACAAACGACTAGACGCAGTGGCTCACGCCTGTAATCCCAGCACTTTGAGAGGCTGAGGCAGGCAGATCACGTTCAAGGGATCGAGACCATCCCGGCTAACATGATGAAACCCCATCTCTACTAAAAACACAAAAAAATTAGGTGGGTGTGGTGGCACGCGCCTGTAGTCCCAGCTACTTGGGAGCCTGGAATAGGGGAATCGCTTGAACCTGGGAGGCAGAAGTTGCAGTGAGCCGAGATTGTGCCACTGCACTCCAGCCTGGGCGACAGAATGAGACTCCATCTCAAAACAAACAAACAAGAGAGAGACCAGAGGTCTCTGAGACAGGGTCTCCACAGAAGAGACCACTGTGTTGCCCAGGCCTGTCTCAAACTCCTAGGCTCAAATGATTCTCCCACCTCAGCCTTCCAAAGTGCTAAGACTACAGGCGTGAGCCACAGCACCAGGCCTGTTTCTGTTTTTAACTCAACCTTTTGTTGATCAACTTTTCCTGCCGGGCACGGTGGCACGCGCCTGTAGTCCCAGCTACTCGGGAGGCTGAGGTGGGAGGATCGCTTGAGCCCAGGAGTTCTGGGCTGTAGTGCGCTGTGCCGATCGGGTGTCTGCACTAAGTTCGGCATCAATATGGTGACCTCCTGGGAGTGGGGGACCACCAGGTTGCCTAAAGAGGGGTGAACCGGCCCAGGTTGGAAATGGAGCGGGTCAAAACTCCCGTGTTGATCAGTAGTGGGATCGTGCCTGTGAATAGCCACTGCACTCCAGCCTGGGCAACATAGCAAGACCCCGTCTCTAAAAAAAAAAAAAAAGCCTTTTCCTTTAATCCCAAGTTTTTCAGGATGCATCATGGGCCACCTGAGTAGACAGGGAGCTGGAAGGGGAGCCCTAGCGTGCTGCATGGAAGCTTGTTGTCGCCAGGGCCTGTTCACACTCAGGTGAAAGGCCCTCACCACACCAAACAGAAGCATCCAGGAGCAGAACACACAGCTGGTGAAACCCTCACAGGCCCTGGAGGAGGCCCAGATGCCCTGGGCCACTGCATACGGCCTCACACAGGAACGCCAAGACCAGGGCAAACATCAGAAAGCCCACTCAGAGAGCCTGCAAGGACCACCCCAGAGCTGTTAAGTCTTAAAAAGAGAAGAAGAAACAGGAATTGAAAAACAGGTTTTCTTCCTTATTCTGATACCCTAAACCCCATTCCTCCTACACACACACACACACACACACACACACACACCCCGATAAACATAGCCACAGACATCTCTGTATACATACCCTGAAACCCCCTACATACACACTCCTATGGAAAACACTTACACATGTGCCCCACACACTCCTAGAAATGCATGCACCCCTCCCGCCTACACACACACATAAAGTAGGGGCTCCTGTCTTACATATATATACATATATATTTTTTTGAGATGGAGTCTCACTGTGTCACCCAGGCTGAAGTGCAGTGACACGATTTCAGCTCATTGCAACCTCTGCCTCCCGGGTTCAAGCGATTCTCCTGCTGCAGCCTCCCAAGTAGCTGGGATTACAGGCAGCAGCCACCATGCCCAGCTAACTTTTTTTTTATTTTTAGTAGAGATGAGGTTTCACCATCTTGGCCAGGCTGATCTTGAACTCCTGACCTCGTGGTCCACCCACCTTGGCCTCCCAAAGTGCTGGGATTACAGGTGTGAACCACCGTGCCTGGCCTGGTATTAGATATTTTTAGAGAAAGCAATTTCATTGGGGTCTTTTCAGTGGAGCTCAAATTTCATTTCTCCATTTCTCCATTTGGGAAAATCCCCCTTTATTTTTTGAAATGAAGTCTCACTCTTGGCCTCCAGGCTGGAGTACAATGGCGCGATCTCAGCTCACTGCAACCTTTGCCTCCCAGGTTCAAGTGATTCTCCTGCCTCACCCTGCCTAGTAGCTGGGATTACAGCCACCTGCCACCATGCCCAGCTAATTTTTGTTTTTTAGTAGAGACAGGGTTTCACCGTGTTGGCCAGGCTAGTCTCAAACTCCTGATCTCAGGTGATCTGCCTGCCTCGGCCTCCCAAAGTGCTGGGATTACAGGCGTGAGCCACCATGCCCAGCCAAAAATCACATTTTCAATATAGCTCTTATGAATTGATCAAAAGCCATGGGAATTGGCCAAGTCAGCGTCTGCATGGTTTTCGCTATGATTTTCTTTTTTTTTTTTTTTCAATTTCATTGGCAATCACCATGATTTTCTTATTAACAGCTTCCATCTCCTGCAAATACCCACTGAGCTGATTTTTCAAAAGCAGAAACCATGGACCCACTCACTGGTCTCCTTTGATACTTAGAGGCCAGAGATTAATAAAAATATACACATTGATTCTGACTGCCAAGCTTCCCGGCCCTTTGCAGTACGCCCATTTTGGTGAGATTTAGCACTATTACTTACCACTTTTATGAGGGGGAAAGCAACACTTCACCAAACCATTACCAAGCTCACTGAAGCTCCACCTGGTCAGTCGGTCACAAAACACACTGAACAACTAGACACTTCTTTGCCTGGGAAGCAGAAGGTGAAGGAGCATTGCACCCTGACAGCAAAACACGGTCTTTTTTGCTCTTAATAGAGCAAATGATTCTAATGAATCATGAGGCTAGGCCAGGCATGGTGGCTCACGCCTATAATCCAAGCACTTTGGGAGACCTAGGTGGGCAGATCACCTAAGGTTAGGAGTTTGAGACCGTCCTGACCAACATGGAAAAACCCCATCTCTGCTAAAAATATAAGAATTAGCTGGACGTGGTGGTGGGCACCTGTAATTCCAGCTACTCAGGAGGCTGAGGTGCAAGAATCGCTTGAACCTGGGAAGCGGAGGTTACAGTGAATTGAGATTTCGCCACTGCACTCCAGCCTGGGCAACAGAGTGAGACCCTGTCTCAAAAAGAAAAGAAGCATGATTCAGGCTGGGCGCGGTGGCTCATGCCTGTAATCACAGCACTTTGGGAGGCTGAGGTGGGCGGATAACCTAAGGTTAGGAGTTCAAGACCATCCTGCCCAACATGGAGAAACCCCAACTCTACTACAAATACAAAAATTAGCTGGATGTGGTGGTGGGCACCCGTAATTCCAGCTACTCAGGAGGCTAAGGTGCAAGAATCGCTTGAACCTGGGAGGCGGAGGTTACAGTGAGCTGAGATTTCACCACTGCACTCCAGCCTGGGCAACAGAGTAAGACCCTGTCTCAAAAAGAAAAGAAGCATGATTCAGGCTGGGCGCGGTGGCTCATGCCTGTAATCCCAGCAGAATTTCTTGAGCCTAGTAGTTCAAGAGCAGCCTGGACAATAAAGTCTTTTGTAGAGACCCCTGTCTCTACAAAACAAAATTTAAAAAACTAACCAAGCATGGTAATGCTTGCCGATGGTCCCAGCTATTGGAGAGGCTGACGTGGCTGAGGCAGGAGGATCACTTAATCCCAGGAGGTTGGGGCTGCACTAAGCCATGATCCAGCCTGGGTCCTACTTCCATGAGTGACTGTAACCAGGGAAAAAGGGAGAGGGACAAGCTGGCAAGGGGAGGGTCATCTCACAACATTCCATTCGTACACTGACAAGTGTAAAGTCACTGTTGTGGTTAGGAGTTGGCAGCACAGGGAGGTGAAAGAACAGGTGGGCAGTAGGGGTATTGTTAAAAAAAATACAGTCCCCTCCCTCAAACTGGGGTCCCTGGGGACAACTTAGTCAGCTTCAACCCAAGAGGAATCAGAAGATCAAAATCGGTTTGGGGCTGGATGCAGCGGCTCATGTCTATAATCCCAGCACCTTGGGAGGCTGAGGTGGGAGGATCACTTGAGCCCCAGGAATTCGAGACCAGCCTGGGCAACAGAGCAAAACCCTGTCTCTACAAAAAGTATAAAAATTAGCCAGGTGTGGTGACACGCACCTGTAGTCTCAGCAACTCCAGAGGCAGAGGTGGGAAGATTGCTTGAGGTCAAGGCTGCAGTGAGCTGTGATTGCACCACTGCACTCCAGCCTGAGCAACAGAGTTAGACCCTGTCTCAGATTTTAAAAAATTGAAAAGTGGCTTGGGAAGGTCAGAACCATCAAGAATAGCAAGAGAAAGAAAATTCAGGTGCTGGGAAGGCCCTGAGGTGGCGGGCTGTTTGGAAGGGATTGCCTTCCCTATGCTGGGATCCTCCTAGCACTTCAGGTTTGGCAGGAAGGGGGCAGCCTCCAACCCCCAAAAGCAGGTTGCCAGATCCTTCAGGCCTGGGGCTGGAGGGTACTCACAAAGGCGTGTCCTCCAGGGAGATGACGGCACTGCTCCCAGCTTCTCTGCCAGTTGCCACCGTCCTTGACCTCCTGGTAGCAGTTCCCTTGTTCGTGCTTGATCCCTTTCACCTTTTTTTTTTTTTTTTTGAGACAGAGACTCACTCTGTTGCCCAGGCTGGAGTGCAGTGGCACAATCTCGGCTCACTGCAACCTCCACCTCCCGGGTTCAAGCAACTCTCCTGCCTCAGCCTCCCAAGTAGCTGGGATCACAACCCACACCCAGCTAATTTTTGTATTTTTAGTACAGACAGAGTTTCACCATGTTGGCCAGGCTAGTCTCAAACTCCTGACCTCAAGTGATTGCCCGCCTTGGCCTCCCAAAGTGCTGGGACTACAGGTGTGAGCCACCGTGCCCGGCCCATGTCAGCTTCCTGATGTCATCCTTAGAGCTGGCATAGGCCATTTTGCCCTTAAGGGGTGCAGATTCAGGGGCCCAGAAGATAAACGCCAGGTCCTCCTTGCTCTCCTGGGTCTCAGGTTGCATCACCTCTGAGGGCGCAGCAGCAGTCTTTGTCTGCAGCATCTTGGCAAAGGTGGCATAGGGGTGGTCAGTGGTCCAGCACACGTCATCCACCAGGGTCTCCTCGCCCTCCTCCAGGGTGGTGTTCGTCTCGTCCTCTGTCAGGCAGAAGAGCAACACCACTTTCCTGTGCTGCTTCACCTCCTCTGGTGTGGAAGATTTGCCCACCTTCAAGTCAGTAAACACCTTGATGACACCATCAGAGATGGCCACACCAGAAGCCATGTTTTCTGAAACAAAAAGGAGATAGCAGCCAGGTTCCAGGGCTCATGCCTGCAATCCCAGCTTTAGAAGGCCAAGGCAGGAGGATTGCTTGAGCCTAGAAGTTTGAGACCAGCCTGAGCAATATGGCAAGACCTGGTCTCTACAAAAGAAATTTTTTTTAATTAGTCTGGCATGGTGGCATGCACCTGTAGGCCCAGCAACTTGGGAGACTGAGAGGGGAGGATTGCTTGAGTCCAGCAGATCGAGGCTCCAGTGAGCCATGTTCACGACAGTGCATTCCAGCCTGAGCAGCAGAGTGAGACCCTGTCTGAAAAAAAAAAAAAGAGAAAGAAAAGGAAGGCGGGGTGTGGTGGCTCCCACCTGTAATCCCATCACTTTAAGGGAGGCAGAGGCAGGTCGATCACTGAAGGTCAGGAGTTGGAGACCAGTCTGACCAATATGGCGAAACCCCATCTCCACTGAAAATACAAAAATTAGCCTGGTGTGGTGAAATGTGCCCGTAATCCCAGCTACTCAGGAGTCTGAGGCATGAGAATCCCTTGAACCTGGGAGGCAGAGGTTGCAGTGAGCCAAGATTGCACCACTGCACTCCAGCCTGGGCAACAGAGGGAGACTTCGTGGGGAGTGGGGGAGGGGAGGCAGAAGGGAGAGAGGAGCAGAGGGGAGGGGAGCGAATAGAAAAGGAGATGGCAGGGAGAGTCAGAGAAGAGAAGAGCTGCTTCGGCTGCTGCCGGGATCTGACCCAACCAAGCACTTTCATTGTCCCAGTAACCCTATGATAGAGGCCCGTGCTCTTACTACCGCATTTTACAGAGGAGGAACTAGAACCCTGGAGCTGTTAGTGATTTGGAAGAAGTCTCAAGTCTGGTGAGTGACTTGAACTTGGCCCCACGTAGTGTGGATGAGGCAAGTTATGCCAAGACCTGTGTGTCTTTTCTAGAACATATGCCTCAAGTTGCAACAAAGGAGGAAGGCGGGTATGGAAATGTCTGCAAACTTCTTTGTAAAAGTGTTTTTTCAGCCAGGCGTAGTGGCTCATACCTGTAATCCCAGCACTTTGGGAGGCCGAGGTGGGCAGATTACGAGGTCAGGAATTCGAGACCAGCCTGACCAACATAGTGAAACCCCGTCTCTACTAAAATATAAAAATTAGCCGAGCATGTTGGCACGTGCCTGTAGCCTCACTTGAGAGGCTGAGGCAGGAGAACCACTCCAACCCAGGAGGCGAAGGTTGCAGTGAGCCGACATCCCATCATTGCACTTCAGCCTGGGCAACAGAGTGAGATTCTGTCGCAAAAAAAAAAGTTTTTTCACTTTGTTTAGAAAACATACTAGTTTGATTTAAAGAAGCAAATCAAGAGTTAAGAGCTCAGATTCCAGAAATGTTCAAATTCAGGAGATATCAGAGAAATGAAAATGAAAATGACATTAGGAGAGAGCATTTTACACTCATCAGAAAGGCAGAAATTAGGAAGGTGGAAATGAGAGAGGTGAAGGTTGGCCAAGCTGTGCAGACAGGCAAGAGAGCAAGGAGCTAAGAGCCCAGGTGCCGCAGCCAGTGTGGGGTGGAGCTCAAAGCCCATCCTGGCCTTTCAGAGCTGGTTTCCTTAGCTGAGGAATGGAGACGTTGTTATAAAATTGTTGTGAGGATTCAAACAACTATTGACATCAAGTGCTGGGAATGGTGTCTATGCTGAGTAAGGGATCTGAGCCCAGCTCTGACAACTGTGGGCTCCCAGAGGGAAGGGACTTTTCTCAGCTCCTTTGCTGTATCCTCAGTGCCTAGAATAACAGCGTGGGGATAATCACCAGGGGAACCAGCAAGTGAGCGGTGGTGGAGTCATACTATACACAGTCCCATATGCTGCAGCAGTTAGAAGCAATCATCTGGTGCCGGGGTTGGTGAACTTTAAAGAAGAGATAGCACTCTGGGACGCCAAGGCAGGCAGATCACCTGAGGTCAAGAGTTTGAGACCAGCCTGGCCAACATGGCGAAACCCCGTCTCTACAAAATATACAAAAATTCACTGGATGTGGTTGAGGGGGTGGGGGTGCCTGTAGCCCCAGCTACTCTGGAGGATGAGGCAGGAGGATTGCTTGAGGTCAGGAGGCCGAGGCTGTGGTAAGCCATGATTGCACCATTGCACTCCAGCCTAGAGGACAGAGTGAGACCGTATCCCTAAAATAAATAAAATAAAATAAAATTTGCCATTTTGTAACCCCCAATGACATAATGGAGTCAGGACAGGATCATCAGTGGATGCTAAACCATTAAGTGAAAGATTTTCAGGAAATGGGATGTTTTCCCTGTACCAATGTATCATCTAGAGATTCCTTGAATTTTGCAAAGGGGGGAAATACATCTTTTCCATGGAGAGATCAAATTTAGCATCAACAAAAGTGAGACAGCTAGGCAGGACGTATCTCTTGATGGGTAGCACCGGGATAGTCAAGGCTTCGCCCAAGAACTGTAGTGGCCCTTGTGTTTAACGGATGTGATCGTGTCTTTAGATCGAATTTCCAGTATGCAGGAAAAATAGGGAATAGAGGAGTGTGCAGAGTAATACCATGAGGAAGCAACCAGATGAATTCAGAAGGTGCGACATTCTACAAACTACCTGCCCAGAGCTCTTCAAAAAATCAGTATCTTGGATGGGGAGATTATTCTAGAATTCAAAAAGATTAAAGAGACATACTAAGCAAATGTAATGCATGAAACTTAATTGGATCCTATTTTAAGAAAATAGAGGCGGCTGGGCGTGATGGCTCATGCCTGTAATCCCAGCACTTTGGGAGGCTGAGGTGGGCGGATCATGTGAGGTCGGGAGTTCAAGACCAGCCTTACCAAGATGGAAACACCCGTCTCTACTAAAAATGCAAAATTAGCAGGGTATGGTGGCACATGCCTGTAATCTCAGCTACTCAAGAGGCTGAGGCAGGAGAATCGGTTGAATCTGGGAGGCAGAGGTTGTGGTGAGCTGAGATTGTACCATTGCACTTCAGCTTGGGCAACAAGAATGAAACTCCATCTTGAAAGAAGGAAGGAAGGAAGGAAGGAAGGATAGCGTCTGGGCACAAGGACTCATACCTGTAATCCCAGCACTTTTAGAGGCCAAGGAGGGCAGGTAACTTGATCC